GACCAGTCCGGCAGAGGAGCAGTTAGGGGCGACTAAGCCAGCAGGGGGACAGTTAGGGGGCGACCAGTCCGGCAGAGGGGCAGTTAGGGGGCAACCAGGCTGGAAGGGGGACAGTTAGCAGGCAACCAGGCTATCAGGGGACCATTTAGGGGGCAACCAGACCGGCAGGGGACCAGTTAGGGGGAGATTAGGCCAGCAAGCAGAGGTAGTTAGGGGCGATCAGGCAGGCAGGCAGGCAAATGGTTAGGGGCGATCAGGCAGGCAGGTGAGCGGTTAGGAGCCAGCAGTCCCAGATTGCAAGAGGGATGTCCGACTGCTGGTTTAGGCCTGATTCCTGTGGGACATCTGGCAGTCGGACATCCCCGAGGGTTCCCGGATTAGAGAGGGTGCAGGCTGAGCTGAGGGACTCCCCCCCACCCCCCACACAAATTTTGTGCACTGGGCCTCTAGTCTATTCATAAAGTATGACACATTATGCCTATGTTCCATTGGGTGTGGTGGTAGAAAGACCATTGGTGTAGATGTCAGACACCTCTTTTCTTGTCCTTGTCCAAATCATCTTTGTCAAATTATTTTATATCTTCAAAATGAGGAGGTTGAAACTAAAGCAAAATGTAAGGATATACATACTCTATATGTTCGTATTGAGGCATTTTAAATTCCATTTAATTTTTTAAGAACAAATGATGGTTGTGGCTCTCTAAATTAACCAAGTTGGGTGACAATTCTCCCATGGGTTTTTAGTATTTCTGTATGGCCTATATTATACGGCCAGGTCAAAGTAGGTTTACAGTTGTTCATATGGAAAATAATACAGTAATTAATAAATAATAATACAATAATAAACTGTGTTTCTCGTACTCACAACTGTGAACCTTCTTTTGTCCCACCTTGTATATTTAGCATTTCTAACGTTCTTTGTTCTGAACTATGTTCTAAGATATATTTGTTTAGCCGCCTTGGAAGATATAGTATCTTTCTCTAAAGCAGAGTATTGTTTACTACGCAATACAGTAAAAACAGTATCTCCCTCTCAGGCAAAAGTCAGGCAGGTTTGCTGCGGCATATTGTGACAGATCGGGCTTCCTTCAGCTTAGAGTTATTTAACTGTGATGCAGTCACACTGTGTGTGCATATCTACCTGGTCCCCTCTTTGTTGCCCCCATGGGAGCTGGGAGACAAAGACAACCTTTACAAACATGGAGCTTATCTGTTTGTGCTGTGCCTGAATAAATCAAAGTTCTTTGTCTGTGACCCAGAGTTCTTGTGTCTTCTGTCAGCATGCACAACACCGGCGGGCTAATTGTTAGCTTGCAAGTAGCATACAAATCTCAGCCCCTTCACCGTTATTTAAAAAACATTTTTTTTTCTTTCTCAACGTTTTGTCTTCCTCAGAATTATAGTCTGGATTTTCAGTTCGTATACTGTGTATCTATCACTAATACATCTGTATACTCTCTATTAGATATACAAATATCTCAATACATTCAAATATATCAGTGACATAAAAATGTTGCCTTTTTTTTTTTTTTTTAATCTGAACTGATTGCTCTAAGGGACATTACCAGTCCTGGAACCTACCTTCAATGTTGTTTGGTGCATTCTTTTAGTTTCTCTTATCTTGAGTCACCTGTTTCCTGGATCTGATTTTTGTTATACTTGATTTTTGCTTTCATTTTGATAGAGCATATTATCTAATAGTTTCCCAAGAAAGGATAAGGATACATGAAAGTTAAATTTTTAAAGACTGTAAGTTATTTTTTCAGGATAGTTTCCAGAAGCAGAGTACTTGAATAAACAGTATGGACATTTAAATTCAGATTCCTGACCTCGATTTCAGGGTTACTGAAGCAGAATATTTGACAAAGGACCCATAAATCTTGCATTTTAATTTTATTATTTTTAAAACTTCAAAAAAATAAATATCTGTTTTAAAATTTACATGTTCTTTAAAACAACAGTGAGCTACCACCTCACACCTATTGGAATGGCTAGACGCATATACCCTTAATACCAAATGTTGATGGGATGTGGAGAAACTGAATCTCTCATACACTGCTGGGGAAATGCAAAGTGATGCAGCCACTCTGTGAGCCAGTTTGCCAATTTCTTATAAACATGCACTACCGCACAACCCAGCTATTGCATTGTTGGGTTTTATCCCAAAGAAATGTATGTTGACAAAAATCATATACGGAAATATTCATAGCAGCTTTTACTTGCAATTGCCCCAAACTAGAAAGAAGCCCGATATCCTTCAGTGGATCAACATACACACAGTGAATGATTGTTACTCAGCAATGTAAAGGAGCAATTGACTGATATGTACAACCTGGATGCTTCGCATGGGCACGATGCTGGATGAGAAACATAAATTTCAAAGGGTTGTATCTATATGATTCAATTTATATAAAAGTCCCAAAGTGGTAAAATCATTTTGATGGAGAAAAGATCATTGGTTTTTTGGAGTTAGGGTGTAGAACAGGGTATGACAGTTAAAGGGTAATAGGAGGTTTCTTTATAGTGTGGTAACACTTCTGTATTTCAATTTTGTAATTTTAAAATGTCATAGAATTACATACCAGGAAGGGAGAACAGGAGGGAAAATGTAAAAACAGATGAAATTCAAATAAGGTCAATATCTGACATTGTACCAATGTCAATTTCCTGGTTTTGACAATATACTGTGGTACATACTAGTATATGATGTCATCACTGGGAGAAGTTAATTGAAGGCTACACAGGAACACTTTCTGCAAGTTCTTGTGGGTCTTGAATTATTTCAAAATAAGAAGTTATTTAAAAGTATGCACGTTGCCCAGCCAGCGTGGTTCAGTGGTTGAGCATTGGCTCATGAACCAGGAGGTCGCTGGTTCAATTCCTGGTCAGGGCACATGCCCAGGTTCTGAGCTCGATCCCCAGTGTGGAGTGTGCAGGAGGCAGCTGGTCAGTGATATTCTCTCATGATTGATGTTTCTGTCTCTCTCTTCCTCTCCCTTCCTCTCTGAAATCAATAAAAATATATTTTTAAAAAGTATGCATGTTCACCATAGCTAGTGAAAATAGAAAACTAATAATGTGCACCTTTCTCCTCCCACAGTTCATAGACCTGCCCAATTAATCTTGACTAGGGATTATAATAGTGGATATCCCTGTCTCTCACATAATTTTAGTAAGAATGGATTTTACATTACACAAAATAGCTTGGCATTTGCCATGAGACTCTGTTTTCCTTCATAATGTAAAGTCAGAGTTTGATAGTTCTAATATGTGGGTCATCTCTGAGTCTGGTTTTATGATTGTTTTGTCATTTGACAGGTTTTTGGTTTTGTTTTGGTTTTTTTTTGCTTTTGCTTTTCATGTGTCTCCTATTTTTTTATCGAATGATGGACACTGTGAATAAACCTGTGGTTCTCCTTTTAGGCCCATAGTGTGAGCACTGAGTTGAACCACACAGAAGGTGAGCTGGATTTGGGTTTTGTTATAGCTGTGGTTCCTGCCCATGCATCATAGTTTTCACGTTGTTCCAGTAACAGGTGCTGATGCCTTATGCTCAGATGGAAGCCTAGGTGCTGGAGAGTTTTTCTTAGTGTTCATGCTTCATCCTCGGTTTCCAGTTGACTCTATGTGCTTGAACTTCAGAGGATGCAGATGTTGCATTCTTGCCCTTCCAGCAGGAGAATTCTGTTTTATAGTCTGGTTTTGGAGGACTAGGAGTTCTCTGTCTCAATCTTAAGACAGTCTCTTTGGGGGGCTTCTCAGAGTTCTTTCCCTGGCAGCCAAACTCCCACTTGTATCTGTGGCAGGTATTACATAGGACAGTTTCCTGCCCTTCTCCCACTTATAGATGCTATCTAGTAGTATTGGCACAGTATATTGGACCCAGGTCTATATCCTGCCTCTTACCCACAGATAGAGGGAGTTCTTGTTTCTCTGGTTTCCAAACAGTGTGGTTTTCTTGTGCCCTGAGGGTTTTGCTGCCCCTTTTCAGCTACACTTGGCTTTTGCTGTATTCACAGAAGAGTCTGCCAGGGGGAGGGGAGAGGATTTTTCTCCTTCCACAGCAGCAGCAGTCCCCTCCCCCATACACTCTGCCTGCATGCCTCAGGGAGGGAAGCCATCTCTGGTCTCCTACCCTGCCCTTGATATTTCCCATGGGCACCTAGTGGAGATGTGTGGGAAAGAGCCTACCAGTAAATGCAAATCTCCATTTCTCCTTGGAGCCTTATCCTTCCCTGAAATTAAGACTGTTTTGTTTTCCTGTGAGCTTAGCTCTCTAATGAGCTTGAGAAAAGTTATGACCTTGTGCTGTATTCGGTTTTTCATATTGGTAACATGCAGTTGTTCAAGCTTTTTGCATCCTAGGCATAGGCATTACATCTACTATTGGATTTTGATAAATGTTGTTTGGTCATATTTAAGTAGTTTCTTTCTAGAAATATTTTTTAAGTTTTTATTAATAGGTATAACAGTTTTATTGAGTTCTTGATGTTGAACAATTCCTTGAATAAACCGTTGGGTTTGATTTGTCACTGTTTTCATGTCACTAATTTTTATTTTTATTAATTTAAGTTTTATTTATTATAGAATACCTTCTGATAGCACTTACTGAATGCCAGACACAGTCCTAATGCTTTATATAGATTACAGTATTTCAATCTCAAAGTGACTCTATGAGGTAGGAGGCACAACTATTCCTAATTTTATGGGTGATGAAACTGAGGAACATGGGTTAACTAGCTGAACACTGTTATGGACATAATAATTGGTCAGATCTAAACTGAGGCAGTCTGTCTCCAGAGTTCACATTCTTAATATAAATGAAATTAACCTAGAGGGTTTTTTTTTTTTGTACTGTATCAAGATTTGTTGTTGCTGTCTTTTGTATTTCTCTAAGCTGAGTGTGAATTTTTTTCATATGTTCAGGATATGTGTGTGTGTGTGTGTGTGTGTGTGTGTGTGTGTGTGTGTGTGTGTTTGAATTTAAATAAATATATATAGTGCTCGCTTTGGCAGCACACATACTAAAATTGGAACGATACAAAGAAGATTAGCATGGCCCCTGCGTGAGGATGACATGCAAATTCAGGAGGCGTTCAATATTTAAAAATATATATATATATATATTTGGTTTTTTCCCCTCATATTTTTTTATTTATTTTTATTGGCTTTTTCTTGGTCCTTTGTTCCTCAGTAATTTTTGGCATTTTACAGCTTTTTTTTAAAAAATTCTTTATTGATTAAGGTATTACATATATGTCCTTATTCCCCCATTGCCCCCCCCTTACAGCTTTATTAATACATATTTGTATACCATAAAATTCATTTATTAAAGTGTACCATTTCAGTATATTTATAGTGTTTTCAACCATCATTGCAATCTAATTTTAGAACATTTTCATATCCACCTGAAATATCCTATACACATTCCCCCAACTATCCATCTCAATCTCAATCAATCACTAACCTGCTTTCTACAGATTTACCTTTTCTGAATATTTCATATAAATGAAGTCATACAACATATGGTCCTTCATGGCTATCTCCTTTCAGTGGGCATATGGAAATTTCAAGGCTCATTCATGTTATAGCATATATCAGTACTTAATTCCTTTTTATTGATATAATATTTATATATGTATATGTATATGTGTGTGTGTGTGTGTGTGTATGTATAATCCCCTGTATTCTGTTTATCAGTTCATTAGTTGATGAACATTTAGATTGTTTCCACTTTTTGGCTATTATAAGTAATGCTGTTAGGAACATTTATGTATAATTTTTTATTTGAACATATGTTTTCATTTCCCTTCGTTTTACATACATAAGAGTGGAGTTGCTAGGCATATGGTAACTCTATGTTTAGCATTTTGAAAAATTGACATACTGTTTTCCAAAATGGCTGCACCATTTACATTCCCAACAGCCATGTATAAAGGTCAGAATTTTCCACATTCTTGCCAGCACTGTCTGTTGTTTTTATTATAGCTAGCCTATTGGGAGTGAGGTGGTGTCTTACTAAGGTTTTGATTTGCATTTCCCTAATGACTAATCTTGACCATCTTTTCATGCATTTATTGGCCATTTGTGCATCTTCTTTGGAGAAATGTCCATTCAGATCTTTTTCCCATTTATAAATTGGGTTATTTGTCTTTTCATAACTTAAAAAATTGCTTTACATATTCTGTATATAAGTCCCTTATTAGATTCTAGAGGCCCGATGCATGAAATTCGTGCACTGGAGCGGTGTGTGGGGGGTCCCTCAGCCTGGCCTGCACCCTTTCACAGTCTGGGAGCCCTCGCTCTTTACTGCCCACCTGCGCACTGCTCCTTACTGCTCAGCTCATGGCTCCTTAATGCTGTGGTGGAGGCAGGAGAGGCTCCCGCCACAGCCGCTGCGCTCGCCAGCCATAAGCCCAGCTTCTGGCTGAGTAGCGCTCCCCCTGTGGGAACACATAAACCACCAGGGGGCAGCTCCTGCATTGAGTGTCTGCCCCCTGGTGATCAGTGCACATCATAGCAACTAGTCATTCTGGTCGCTCTGCCCTAATGGTCTCCTAGGCTTTTATTATATAGATAAGATTATCAAATAATTTTCCCTTTCTGTCATTGCCTTCACTTTTTTAAAGGTGTCCTTTAATGGCATGCTTTTGGTGCTGATCTGAGAAGGCTTTGCCTAACTTGGAGTTACAAAGTTTACATGTATGTTTTCTTCTAGAAGTTTTATAGTTTTAGCTCTAACATTTATATCATAATCAATTTTGCATTAATTTGGGGATATTGTGTAAGGCATGGGTCAAAGTGCTTTTTTTTTTACATTTGGATAACTAAATACAGTTGACTCTCCAGTGGTTCTCAACCTTCCTAATGCCACGACCCTTTAATACAGCTTCTCATGTTGTGGTGACCCCCAACCATACAATTATTTTCGTTGCTATTTCATAACTGTAATTTTGCTACTGTTATGATTCGTAATGTAAATATCTGATATGCAGGATGTATTTTCAAGGGTCACGACCCACATGTTGAGAACCCTAGACCATTTCTTGAAAAGACTATTCTTTCTTCATTGAATTGTCTTGATTTCCTTCTCAAAAGTCAACTGACTATAAATATGACTTTAGTTATGGACTCTCAGTTCTATTCCATTGATCTAGTATATGTATTCTTAAGTAGGTATCACACTATATTGATTACTGTAACTTTGTAGTAGGTATGGCATCAAGACTTATGAGTCCTTGTTTTTGTCTTTTATTAATTGAGTTTATTGGGGTTACATTGGTTAATAAAATTATATAGGTTTAAGGCATATAGTTCTATAGTATATCATCTGTATATTGTATTATGTGTTCACCACCCAAAGTTATGTCTCTTTTCATCACCATTTATCTCCTCTTTACCCTCTCCTGCCTCCCCCTCCTCCTTTTTCTGCAAAGATGATGGGATTATGTAATGAGCACTTTTGATGCTAATGTTACTAGCTTAATAAATTACATAAATTTCTACCTTTAACTATGGTCTTGAAGAGTTTAAATTGAATTGGAATGATCTTACTTGAAATTAGAATCCAGTTTTAAAATCATATATTTTGATGCCTTTTTATAATATGAATTTTTAAAGATGTTTCATTTGTTTTAATATGTATGTCTAGTTTTTTATTTCTTAACTCAATTTTGGTGTTCTGTATATTTTGTTAGGAAAGCTTCCTATTTCCTCTAATACAAGATTTCCAAGATACTAGATTTGGTATCACAGGATTGTAGATAATTCTCTTACTATTTAAATCTCTTCTATTTTCTATATAGTACTGTTTCATCTATATTATGACAGTCTAACATTTTCTCAACCATTCTTTTTTAAATTAAATTTATTGGGGTGATATTGGTTAATTATATAGGTTTCAAGTGTACAATTCTATGATACATCATCTATATATTGCATTATGTGCTCACCACCCAGAGTCAAATCTTCCATCGACCATTCTCCTTTTATTAGAAAGCTGATGTGTGGCCGTCTAACCCAAAGCTATCTAGTGACAACCTCTATGTCCTGGTTCAAAGAAATTGGTAAGTCAGGTAATAATTTAATAGTTGGATTGGGAAACTAGGAAGGTATGAGTCAGTAAGTTTTGAATGCTGAGCAAAATTAAGGTAGGCTGGCCAGGTAGTGTGCTATAGGCCATGTGCAGTCTGAAATTATGAAGGAGCCAGTAGGAAACGTTGGAGCCAATGGATTTAAAAAACATGAATTTTGAACATGGGAAATGGAGATTCTGTCCTTGTTCCTAACAGCTTTCTGTTCCCATGCCAGACTTCATTTTCTAGACAATAAATTTTTTTCTTGACAGAGTCTTTCTTTATAAGCAAGACTCTCAGTTAGACCAGGTTTATAGTCTTTGCATACCAAATGGGGAATTGCTATGACAGCATTCATTATAGGCTCTCTGAAATGAACAATTAATTACATTGAAGGGTAGCTCTGTAGATTATAGCACCAGGTATAGCCAAATAATCAAAGCCTGTTTAAGTTCAAGTCCATCAAGACACATTAAAAACTGATGAGGTTCAGATGAAACAACTGTGAACTATAACTTCTTAAACAGAAGGAATACTGAATTACTGTGGGAAATTTTTGTGGGGATTATCCATGGCAAACCACAAATGTAATACTTGTAAATATTTACATTTAATTTCTCTTAACATTAGTTACTAACATTTTTCTAATTTTTAATTTTATAATATTATTTTAGGAAGTTGGGGTTTTTAGTTTGATATATAATGATAGCAATATAAAGTTATATTACATTCTTTCCTGTCTTATACATTTTGTAATTTGCCCCAAAATTAATCAAAATGAATACTTGAATTAAGGCATAAACTTTCAGTAGGAGACTGAATTTTAAGCATACCAGGCAGATCTATCTTTCTGTGAGCTGGATTTAGACAGATTCTGGAACCTTTTCTCAGTGGTTTGAATCACCTCATCTTTGGGCCTGGTGTCTCCTCTGACTAAAATGCTCTTCATAACCTATTGCCCTACTTCCTTTGCCCATATAATACCTGTCTTCAGTTTGGCCACAGTCAAGAGGACTCTTGTTGTCTGGCGAGGGATTTGGGTGGGAGAATGAAATTGTTTGAATAACAAAATTAGCACTGAATTGAAAAGAAATGGAAAATGTGAACAATTCTCAGTGCTCCCAGGACTTCCTCCCAGATCTTTCCCATTTCTGCTCACATCAACAGTACTTTCCCCCGGCCTTCAGCTCTCATTTTATTATCTCCTCCCCTTTTTTCCTGACCTATTGATTTTTGGTATTATAGCCACCAAGAAGATGTAGAAGAGCATATAGTCATAATACATTGTTGAAAACGATACTCTGGATACCTTTAAAAGGAATAAAGGCCCACTTGATTGATTGTGGGTGATGAGTATAGGTTATTGATTCTTAACAGAGGCATATATTAGAATCATCAAAAGATGTTTTCAAAATAATAAATCTAAGCCTGACCGAAGCCAAGTGAATTAGACTACGTTATACTGAATTTGAAAACTTGCTGACATAGACTTGGTATTTGGAAGAAAAAAAGGAACAAAATACTTCCCTAAACTTTTATTCCTATGGGTTTTTTGTTTCTGAAAATAATTTGCTTTTTTACTAATTGTGCTTTTTAATTTTAGTTCTGGTTAAATTTTTACTTGATTTCTTTGTTGGGTTGGTGTCAGTATTTTGGTGGGTTATCAGTTTTATGTTATTTTAAAAGTGATTTTTTGGTACTTTGGGAGTAAGCTGAATGAGGCTTCAGAGAGAATGCTGGCCAAGTGAAATTTTTCTCTTTCATTTTTAGCATTTACAGTAACCAAATTCTACACAAGGCTATGGTGATTGGGAGTGATACATTAAATTCTCTCATGAATTGCATTGTATTAATACTGTGAAAAATCCAGATCATTATTTAAAATACTATGAAACTTAATTTGGTGGATTTTAAAAATGTACATGTTATCTCTAAACTAAAAATATATGTATTTTAGGAAACAAACTTTAGATTATAAAATTCAATTAATTTAGTTTGACTACTAAGTAAAAATATTTCTGATTTGAGGCAT